GTTTGAATAAGTGTTTGATATAATGGGTTGGGTAACGTTCGTGATGGAAAATGTCCGTGACGGAAAATATCTGGTGGGAAAGGATACCTAGCTACCTAGATTTGGCCCCATTCTGGTTATGTCGAATACCGAGCAGGTCACAATCCTAGCGCCATAACAATAACGTGGTGTATCTGCATTCGAGTCTCATGACATTCTTTGCATACTTCACCTGTCTAATACAGGTGTAACCCTCTTCGATACCTGTACGGCCCGAACCTCTCGTACAGGTCTTTACCCAACCACCAACCTATTTACTGTTAATATTTTTGCCAGAGCTAGATATATATCTAGGTACTTACTTACCTTAGACCGACTACGACGTCTAGTGTCCTGATGTCTTTAGCGGCTTGTAGGGTAAAGACGTGAGGTACTTATGGCCAGCATAACAAGATCATGGAAGTGAACTCGGTGAAGACCAAGGATAGTGTATTTCTGGCAAACATGGGGTTCCCTGCCTAATACCGAGATCCATGGGGGGTGAACTCCCCAAGTTTAGGAAGAGCTATCGAGGCCCTTTACGCCTTGGAATCCGGCGTTTTGAATGACGACTGGTCAGCTAGACGGGAGGTGGGTGGTGAAAGGAAGTCGCGGCATAACTGGGGGCAGCGGCTGAGAAACTCACTCCTCTGCGCGCTTTACACTATTCTGTCTACTGGGTTTCATGTAGCCGCGACAGGTAGCTCTTCTTAAAAAATGACACTAAAAGCCCATCCAGGGGTCTCTAAATCGAATTGTTTATCTCTTGTTGATGGGGGTGTGATGGGTGAACTGATCCATCGACTACCTGGTCTATGGTGTGTGTGCGATGTGTGCTAGGGTGGAAAAGGCTGGAAGGCCCAGGATGGAAGACAGCTATGGTGGTGTGGGGCATAAGACACCCACCCTACAACACTTGTTTATTCTCTCGGTCTGCTTACTAACAATTTTCTTCTCTAGAATATAGGGGGTTGGAAACTGAGAAATCGCGAACTACATGTCTTGCGGGAGCGGAGTATCCTATAATGTAAGGGATATAAGGTTTCCCGTACCAACCGTGCAATCTTCCCGTCGCCCTCACCATGGAACTTGGGTAAGTTTCCTAGACACTTGCGGAAGCTCTTCCGCTCCCCAAAGCTGTTCCTGTCCGAAATAGCTACATGGCATCCTCCCTTGCTACCTTAGACATTATGCGCGTCGAAATATGTTGCTCGGGGACCGCTTAGGCCGAGAACCTGCCATGTTGGCGTTAAGCCGGTCGCTGTCGACTCTCGCCACACCGCTAACCCTAAACCCCGCTGACATCATCGAGTACCCTGCATTACGAATTGAAGGGGGTATTTCTCCTCGTATCTCAGAGGCGACGGTGGTTCGTTGTTCCCCAGGTGTGCTGATGATCACTTCGGGGTCTGGGACTCGTAAGTCCTTTTTGGAGGGTAAGGTCGGCATTCGGACCGAAACGGATTCTCGCTGGGATCTGAGGGACTCCACGTGTGCCATTATGCGGTTTATACCCAGGGCTGCGCATACGGTGAGGGTGAGGACCGGGACGGCGGCGACGGGGTACCAGAATGCTGGCGTATCGAAGGTCGTGATGCCGAAAATGGTCTATTTATCACTATGGTTAGTGACTTCAATATGCCTGAATTGCGGGGGGAACGCTAACCGCTACGAAACTGAGCGGAGGGAAAACAAATGCCAGCCCGTTGAGTCTCGCAACTCCTCTGCTCTGGGCTATGTTCTCAAGTTCGAACGTCTGCATTTCATCAGTCCATCATCAACTGCCTCGATTCAGTCATGGGTTGCATACCAAACTTATCAGATTCCTCTGCTGCTCGAGAATCGTCGCCGTAGTACCAACATAAAAGTCGAGCTGCATGCCGACCCCCTCTAGCCGGGTGAGAAGGTCATCCCATTGCTGGGGCTTGCGCAGTCGGTCAATTCCACGCTTGAACTGTCTCAAGCATCCCTGTGTAGCTCTTTGGTCTAGTAGATGATGGAGCCGGCTGCTTTGCGGTTGAAGAGGGCTTGCTCTTTGGTCTCCAGATTGAACCTCGCAATCTCAAGCGTGCTGTGCCAGCTCGTCATGACGTAGAGGCAATCGAGGTACGTCCAGTAGATGCACTGCTCCAGCCGTTGCCACCTGTGATCGTTGGCGGCGTAGTGCAGACAGATCTTACTTGCGCTGGCCTCGTCGCAGAATATGGTGAGCACTGGGCGTTCCGGCGCGTGGACTAGTGCACCATTCTCTCTGATCCAGGTGACTACCTGTAGACTTATATCAGAAATTTCGTTCCGAGGTGAGGTTAATAACGGGGAAGCTGACAGAGTTTCGTCTCGCCGCCCACTGTCCGAGTCTTATCCGGCCAGGAGAGTAACCTATTTCAGAGCCCTCATATATATCGACGTGGTCGATCATGTAGCAGCATTCTGAACAGAGAGGTGTTAGTACCAGGTAGGTAATGGCCGGGGCCTGGATGAACGACGACTGGATTACCTTGATCGCTATCATCAAATGAAGGGAGAATAGCCCGATTCATATCCCCAGCACCAGTTAGGAGGCTGGGCGGAAGCCGGGGAATTGCGCTCTTCACCGCGTCATAGGCCCAAGACTGGTAGTTGACGAGGATTCTGGCAGAGGTACGGATAACATCAGCCCTCAATAAAGCCAAGCACCTCAAGAAGGCAACGCACATTACCATCAGGCCCTGCGAACGAGTAACCTGCTCACCAAGAGTTCTAGGTAGGGTATCGATATCGAGTTGATTGAACTGCGCCGTGACCGGGCTCGGGTGGAAGCGCTCTGCGCCGGCATTGTCGGCGAGCACCGTGAGCTGCATGATTTCGCGTTAGAAGCTGATGTGCGAAAGGCGGTGGCTTTTCTTCGTGAGATTATAGCTAACGAGCCAACGGCTGACCGCCGATAGTCGGGAAGTTTTGGGTGGGTTTCCCCAGAACCCCGTCTGCTGGAAGGAAAAGATAATTGCAAATGTTTCGTTGCAATAATGTCCTGGGGCAGCTGTGCTGCCTGAAAAGCGATGCCATGCCTGATCCAGGGCATCTGTGGTGAAACCAGCAAAAGAGGGCCTGTAGAATGGGCGGCCCTGGGCGGCCTGCATGTGTCACAGCATCTTAACCAGTCGTAATAAAGTGGCGGTGGCGCATGTCTGCAAATGCTGCGCAGACCGCTGCCTAGGCTTTTTGGAAGGCAGAAGAGTGGCCAGATGGACCTGCGTACGCAAGTGAGGCATTTAAGGTGCATAATCCCAATCAGTGTAGCGAGGCTTTGTTCTTGGGTGCTCAACACCGCGGTAGGCTCTGGCCGTTGGACAGGAAACACAAACCAAGACGTCTTCAAAACTCACTCCTAGGTAAGGTAGACGAGATCATGGATATGAGTGGCCGTAGATTTCCCTTGATGCCCTGGTCTGCTGGTAAGTGAGTCCTTGCCTTCCTGATTGCGAAAAGATCTGACATAAAGGTTAGGAACAGACGCACCGATTTCACTGGCCGACACCATCGCAAGGGGCAGCCGAGACAACCTCGTATCAATCGCCCGCTGCTTCCACACCGTCGGTGAGATTCTTCGTAAACAAATTCGATGGGACCAGAGGGACCCATATTTTTCGGACTCCAATCTCTCCGCGCTCAATCGACTCGCCATCGATATCGAAGCCGAACATCAAGATCTGACGCCGATTCTACGATATCTGAAAGACGAGGCATATATACCAATGTGGAAGGAGGCGCTGGAGATTTTAATACGACATCAAGGATCGACCTCATCATGCGGCCTCCCAGAATGGAGGCTAGCCAAGGTCAGGGCTTTCGATATTCTAGAAGAGCGGAACAGAGCAGCCGAGAACTTCGACCGGCTCGAGTTCACACACAAAACACCAGAGGTCGAGCACCTCTGCAGCAGCATCCGGACCAAGATACAGCTCCTGGAACGATTTACGACAGTATACAACTTGCAGGGAAGTCCTCTTAACGGATACACTCCGCCTCCCGAGCCATATTTCGATTTATACCCGCTCCGCGGACAAGAAAAGGACAAGGCAGTGGCGGAAGCTTATCCCTACCGGTCTCAACATGTACGTCATACCTTTTGCAAAAACTTCCGGCCGAGGCTCTAACAGATCCAGAAAAACGGCCCATGGCTCGTCTCGGCGGTATTCCTCACCATCCTAGCCTGCTGCGTCCCTCTCTACCTGGCCTGGGGAGACCTAGCCCAGACCCAAGGCTCCAGCATCGACGCAGACTTCTACCTGCTCATCCTCAACTCGATCATGTGCGTGCTGGGCATATCCACTGCGGTAGTTCCTTTGCTGCGGAGGCCGCTGTCGTCGGCATACACGCGCTGGGCGCAGGTTTCCTCGGTCTTGGGCGTGCTCGCTGTTGTGGGCTCGCTTGTGATGTATCTGTACCTGCCGATGAGCTGGAGTGCCCTGCTTGCATTTTTTGCGCAGGCGTGTCAGAGTGTTGTCACGTTGCAGCTGGCGCTGGGTGCGGAACAAGAGCGGTGGTGAGATGTTTTTCGTCTGGAGGGTGGGCACGAACCGAGTTGCCAATTGTCGCTGTGTTGCATCGAGGGAAATATGCATGAAGTCAATAATGCTCGGTTTTTTTCGTAATTCGTTGTGTAACACGGGAACAACGGTCTCCCCAGGTAGCCTTGATGGATACAGAGATACAGTACAGCTAGAACTTGTATGATACTAGGTGTGACCACTTTCAACCAGACCCACACCCAATTGACCAGCCTTCCAAAAAGATTGCCAGAATTCTAAGGTCAGCACCTTAGAATCCTAACTGTGGATATATGCCAGCGCGAGCTAGGCCCAGCAGGGCCCTGTGCTCGTGACTCTAGGCCGCTTTCGATCAACAAAAAGGGTCGGGACATGGGTTGGTCAATGCTGGGTTTCATCTACCCCAGCTCTTGATGCCTGAATGTCGGGAGACAAAAAAGAAAAGGGAACAGTTGGGCGGGCTGGGATTCGAACCCAGGTCTTTCGCTAAACGCTGGATGGGAAGTGAAGAAAACAACGCTGATGAAACGCTCAGGAACACGCTGACCACTGCGCTACCCGCCCCTTCAAGTTCATTGCTGGTAGTAGTGTGTCACAGGCCTATATAACCTCCTCCAATATAACCGTGGTACGAAAAAAGATAAAGATGGGCGGGCTGGGGTTCGAACCCAGGTCTTTCAATGAACGCTTGGTATATATATTTAGAAGCAACGCTGGATTTCGCTTGGAACAGATTACGCTCAGTGAATGCGCTGACCACTACGCTACCCGCCCTGTTGGGTTTGTTAGATGGGGTGGTGTACTTTGAGTCTATATGCCCCTATCACCTGATGCTTATAAAAACAAAAGTTTAGACTGGCTGGAATTCAAACCCAGGTGCTCCGTCGATGTAAACGCTTCAAATGTCGCCCTCAAGAATGCAACTCCATTTGCTGTCCAGCAGCCTCAACATCACAGGGGTTTCTGAGCGTAGATGACCCGTCTGTCCAAGTTGTCAGCTTTGCATCTGAAGCATAACGGCGGGGGTGACTTACGCCGGCCAGTATGCATGTATCTCCCGGTTCTTCAGGTCCTTGCGCACATCGATGAGGAATGTCTCGACTTCGGCAGCCGACCAGCCCAGGACGTTGGTGAACAGCGACACGGTGAACCCGTGCAGTCCTTGCAGGACATTTTCATGGTTCCAAGCGCCTATCACGGATTGTCAACCAACAATGGCCACCCCACATGAGGCACAGACACAGAGACACAAGAAAGGGTAAATACCAATATTCTTATACAGCCGGTCCTTGGGCCAAGTATTCGAAGGCCACTTATAATCCGTCCTCACCACACCCGTAAACCCCGCCGCAGCGAGCTGCTCCTCATACCCCAGCGCCGAATCAAGCCGACTGCCCAGCTTCGCCGCCGCCTCGGACATAAGCCGGCCCCACTTGTCCAGGGCTGTCTTGTCAGTGAGAGTCCCGTCGTCCGAGGTGGGGGGGTTGATGGGGTCCATGATCTCGATCCAGCCTCCGGGGGCGAGGTGTCTGTACGACTGGGCAAAGAACTTGGGCCAGTCGCGGATGGACCCGGTCATGTTGGAGAGGCGGATCAAGTCAAAGGGGCGGGTGTAGTTCCATTCTTCCTCGAGGTCGTCGACGAAGAATTCAACGTTTGGGGGGACGCTGTGATAATTTGCGGTTAGCAGGCATATCTGCCTCTCCTCTCCCGCCAACCATCTCCTCATTCTTCTATGTTATAGTTTGCTTATCGAAGATAGAGCAGGGTGTCAAGGCTCGGGGTAAGGAGTAGTCTTACAAAGCTGGCTGGATCGGACTGATGTCGACACCGACGACCTAATTTGTCAGTCCCAACCAAACCCATTCGACGTTCTGGGGCACTTTACCGCCGTGTCCGGATTCTCATCCGCTGTACTGAGTCAGCCTTTACCCCATCCTCACATGAAATTCCCCAAACAAAAAAAAGAGTAGCAAACACACCAAAGTCCATAGCCCAAATCCCCGTCCCGGTCCCTGCATCGAGCACCCTCCTCATGGGCTTGTCCTTCCCCGCCGGACAAAGATGCAACCGATTATCCTGCAGCAGTAACATCATGGTATGCTGGAGATCTACACCACGTCAGCTACCACTTGTCCCCTCCCTTAAAGACCACCCCACTGGCAACATACCCAATCTCTCCTTCTCAATCTTCCAAGTTGAACAAACAAAGTCAGCAAACCCCTTTACTTTGTGCCGGAAAAGCAAACCTCATCATTAGGCATGAAATACGCTTCAAGTCGTCAGCCTCTCAGAACCAACCCCGGGGAGGTTCTCAAAAAACATACCGCTCGCCTTGAAACTCGAATACGTCCGTCCATTCTCCTCTCGAAATTTGAGGATACTCGAACTAATCGACGCCGTGTCGCTCACGAGACCCTGAGAATCGCACGACGAGTCCTGTCAATCTCACCGCTACTTGTCGCTAGACGCCAGTGCTGAGACGGACGGGGAACATACCGCGCTGAAAGCCGAGTCCGCATCGCTGCTGTCTTGATCGCCGGTGTTCGCCTGTGCAAAATTAGGGGTGTTGTTGACAACCTGGAGAGGAAAGGACAAACGTCGGGTTCAAGGATGGGATTGGCGGGCGCTGAAGCCGGTGCAGGTGCTGCTGGTGCTTCGGTTGCCGGGGTGGCGTGTTCGGGTTCGGGGTTGGTCGCCATTGCGGATGAGGCTAAGGGGGTATGCACAGAGTGGGGCTGTGATGAGACAAAGAAAGAGCTACTAAGACGACCAAGAGGGAACCAAAGGTGTTAAGTAATAGCATTGAGTTTTGAAAAGCGCACACACGTCGGTTTGAACCCCTGGAGTCCGTCGGATGCAGGTCCTTGCAGCTCCGCGGATCGGGTCAGTCACGCTGCAGGTGACTTGGTGGTTAACGTTACCTTGTTCGTTCTAGCAAGCCACGGGTGAGGCCCCGATAGGATGCGTTGTTGTCACGACATGCGCGATGGGCACAGGGATTTCATCCTTACAAGCGGGGCGAGTCTGTCCTTGGAACGGAATGACATTGTTGGGTTGACTTTGGCTACGTCAATTTTGGGGAAAATGTTTATTCAGTGGGTTCAGTAGAGTGAAATGGAAGAGAAAAGGATGTAAAGTCGAAATTTTTCACAGAAAGAGACGTGGAGATCTGGCCTGAGACACGCATTACGGAAAATGCAAAGCGATGCCGTTGCCGCGTTGAGGGGGCTGCATCTTCCTACATGTACCTGACCCTGGATGGTACTCGGGGATTGGATGGCCAAATGCGCAAATGGCATGATTAGGTAGGACTTTAAAAAAGCAAAAAGATGCGCATATGTCTTCTATTGCTGATGTCATGCTCAGGCCTGGATGTAAAAGAATCATGATAAACATGGGTTGTTTGATAAGACTGCGGGAGACGCCAACATGGCGGTCAGGGGTATCAGGGGTTGGAAGACGGTCTTCACCGGCGGCGAAACCCGTGTAGAGAGGTGGCTGCCGACTACTTGTCATGCGTGACACATCGGACTGCATACTGCCATCGACTCGATTCGGATGAAATGCTGGATCGGAAGCAGCAGTCCTGCGGGTGTACACGACATCCAAACCACCAACCCGCCACACACCCGACCAACACTTCACATCTCATCCGACCCCATCAAAACACTACAAAATAAAGGAACAATGTCAGCAGCCACCAACATCATGAACACCACGACCACTCAGGACACGATCATGGTGAAGAGGGAGGAGAACACAATCACACAACCGACATCACCCCAACGGTCTCGGTTCTCCCGGTCCGGAGGGTGTCTCTCCTCAAAGTCAACTTCGTCCGACAATCCCAACTACTTCTCGAAACCTATCTGTATGAACCCATTTGAATTCAAACCTTCGCACCTACCTCCGCTTTGGATTAAGACATGCCACTAAAAAGCCTGTTCTAAAAACCACAACACGTGTCTTAGTCTCTTCCACGACATGCACCACAGAACAGGAAGAGACTTCACCACCTGGGATTCCACAACCCCCCTACCATACATCCGTCGTCCATCCGACCATTGCACCGTGCCATATGCGATCCATAAAAAGTCCATTGAGGCCCCTGCCATGAGGTAATATACGTTATAGTTCAGACCGACAATCAGCGAGTCACCTATATCAACGCTTGGTAAATTTCCTCAACTGAATATTCCGGTATTCTTTGTCCGGAACGGTATCTCCGAGTCTCTCTCTCAAGGCAACGGGGGATGAATCACACGAAAGCCCACATCTAACTCTAGGGAGTAGTTCTAACTGGGCGAGAGAGACGCGCGAGAGTGGTAATACATTGTGGCAGCCTATACGGCACGCTCAACATGCATTGTCCAATGAAGTTCATGTTCGAATCCCAGCTCGGAACCACCAAGCCGGTAACATCTCTTTGTACATGCCGTGTCCCGTCTGTGGCAAATATCGGTCCAGGAACCAGGTTGCTGGGACCGGCAGGCGGCAATATGCGGTTTGCTGTGGGGGTGTTGTGCGGGTGTGGCGAGGCTTTCTTTGTTCTGGGCCCCGAATACCCCAGCTTCAGTGTCGTAGATCCATCCGCGGCTAGGGTCCACGAGCGCAGGATCCCGCATTGGGAAGTGTATAGGTAGCTTGACCTATCATGTGAGCCGTAAAAACTTGGGGCCCGGACAGAGAGGACCGAACCCGGCATTTCGTGTCTACCTACGGTTTAATAAACTCGTAATCGGAGTTTGCTCCGCGCCCCCCTCCCCCCCCCCCCATCCGACGCTGTTGCCGCAACCTCTCCTGGTATGTATGCGGACCTGTTGAACAACAATGACCATGTCGAAAATCCCACCCCCCCCACCCCGTGATTACATTAATTACAGTGATGCCTTTCCATGAAACATCACGACCACACCTTGCCCCGCCGCCCCTCCGTACCCCATTCCCAGTTCCCCTTCAATCCCCGTCATCTAAATGCTCCCGGTGATGACGTTTAAGCCATAAAAACTCCGAGTATGTACTGAACCAATGAAGCTCCGTGATGACCGCGTGTGCGTAGTGCGCCTGTATGTTTCGTGCTCTGCAGGACGAGATCTAGTAGAAAGATTAGACACCTAAAGAGACAAACCGCCTTTCCACATTCATAATGCATTATAGTGTTGTGCACACCAGGTTTGTGTGGTTTAGTCCAGAATCATATCCTCAACCGGCGGCGTTTCGGGCTTCCGGCCGTAGACAACGTAGAACCGTTCGTACGGACACCCTCGTTTTTCAGCCAGCGCTTTTCTCACGTCGACGAGCAAGACCTGTTCCCACTGTCAGTCTGACAAAAAGAAGAAATAGGCTAAGAAGACACACCTCAATCTGCTCTGTCGTCATGCCCAGCCACCGATTGAACAGGGCGTAGCTAAACCCCGGCAGCCCTTCTCGCATGCTCTGCGACCACAGCTCCCCAATACGTTTGAGGCGGTGGCCGCGCGGCCAACCATTGACAGGAACCTTGTACACCTTCTCGTGTACTTCTACAAAGCCAGCCTCGATGAACATGCGCTTGAAGAGCGGAGCGTGGTGGATCGGGCGGTCGGCGAGAATGCTAGCTTGCTGCAGGTCGGCGAACCAGCGGCGCAAGGCGTTGTCGGGCGGTATCGTGACGTGGTCGCTGTCGATGTCGGTCTCAAACTCTTGCACCTCCAGCCAGCCTCCGGGCGCTAGCCGCTCATATGCTTGCGCCAGGATCTGCCTCCAATCAGACCAGGCACCGATGGTTGCCA